GGGAAAGAGATTGATTTGTTCATTGTGACTCCCCTGAAAAAAGCCTCAGACAATCCAGCCCTGTCCTCTAGCACAGCAGCATTGTTAAACAGAGCTGGTGCTTGCAAAATTAAGCATTTTTTGAGAGTTACTAGTTCAAACAGTGCTATTCCTGCATCCTCAAGCACACAGTCCTCAAACATGCAGGTCATACAGGAACTCCTGATCACAAGAATGAAAACCTGGCACTTTCCTTTCTAACTGTTCATCATAAGAAAGGGATCTTCCTCCATTATTTCCTGCTACCTATTCATATAATCACCGAAAAACCAAACAGGAAAAAAACCACACTGCAGAAATCCCCAAGAGATGCCACATTGCTCATGGAGGAGATAATGACTCCCAGCCTTGCTCTTATTACACCTTATTATCACACTATACTGAAAATGTGTCCTCATTAAAAAACAAAACAAAACAAAACTCCAAACCTAGAAAACCAACATCAGCAAAGAGAAGAAGCTTTCTCCAACTCAAGAAGTTCCATGGTGCCCAAGCTCCTTCGACATGTGTCAAACTGCTAGACCTCCTGAGCCAGCTGCCTGAGTGAGGTGACTGTTCAGCCACCCCAGCTCTGGCTTGCAGACACAGATTCTGAGCAGGCTGATGGCTTTCAGGAACAGCACAAAGGGCAGCTGGGACACTGGTGAAAATATTTCTTGTGTGGAAGTGACTGGGACGTTCAGAACTTCCTGGCTGAAGCTGTCCTGGCTTACCAGGAGGTATACACAGTGATCGATGGCAGCTCAGCGCATGGCAGAACCAGCAAAAGTGATGCCTGCAGGACTGGGGTAGATACCAAGCCCTGCTTTCACAGCAAATCCTGGATTCCAAACCAACCAAATACTTGGCTAAGCATGGCACAGGCTAAAGCATGCAAAATTAAAAAGAAAAAAAAGAAAGAAACCCCAAACCTTTAACTGGGGTGGGGAGAAATCAGTCAGCCTAGACCACGTTTAATACTCAGTTCTTCAGACCTTGATAACTTTGAATACAGAGGTCCAGGTCATAAGAAAACCAAAAATCAAGACTTAGTGTCTAAGACCTAATGAATAAAACCTACGCCATGTAAAACTACTTGCAGAATTCACGTTTGGTCCCATTCTGTACTGAATGTGGGGTGAAGAATCTATTTGCAAAACAAGCACAGGAAGAAAAAAGCACAACAGCTCTGCTGGAGCAGCCACCGTGCAACAGAGTATAGAAGCAGGTGGACTGGGGTTAAATCCTGCACAGGAATGCACTCTTACATCACACACCATTCACAATTCATTTACATACTTCTCATGTCCTAGTTTTACAGTCAAAGCTTCTATTTCTGTATTGTCAAGCTTTTGTATTTGATATTTTGCACTAAGATAGTGTAAAATACTGTGTGTGTTTTGACAGATGAGATTTCTGCATTGACTCAATAATAAACTTTAACAACCTGGTCTCAAAGGATGAGAGATGAAGGTGGGTTCTTTCATTTCACATATTGAAAACAATGTCAATTTATAAAAATCAGTTGCAATCTCCAGTGGAGGCAGGAGTGGAATCCAGGTTTCTTTGTCGCAGGTTCTGCAGAACCGTTTATCTGATGGGCTGCACTGTGCGAGGGCCTTTGCCGATGGCACACAACACAGACTGACGGTCTGGAAAGCGTGCTGCTCGGGAGTGCCCGCGGGAAGAGCACAAAGGCACTGAAGGGCAGCGCTGTTACCATCGAGAAATAAATACACCCGCGGAGGTGCCGCGTCTTTCTTGCACCATCTGGTGAGTTTTAGCTGCAACTGCAACCACGAGTGACAACCGGGCATGTGCTCCCAGAGCAAAGGCCACAGAGGTCATCTACCTGACAGACATTACCTAAGAGCATCTTAGAAGGTTACTTTCTAAGAAGCAATTTATCAGCTTTAATGCACATAATAAATTGCTGTTCATCAATTTGTTGAGAAGGTGATTGGAAATAGGGTGCTGTAGGTCTAGCCACTTCGGTCCTGCACTGAGTTTCTGTCAGCAGTAACTCAGGTGTTACTGGCATTGCTGTTTTTCTGTAGCCTCAGCTCTTGTCTCCATGCTGAGATGGCAACTACAAGAACATTCAGTTAGGTGAAGAAGTTTGCCCTGTGTGACACTACAAGTCAACTGCATTGAGTCCACAAGGCCAGAAGAGTCCACCCCTTCCTCAGGTAACAGCTGACATTCCAAGCACTGCTACAAACCTCTGAAGTGCTTCATATGGATTAAGGTATCACTGCATTTCCCTTAGGAGGGCATCCAGAGGTTCCCATTTAGCATTTGTGAAAAATAATTTAAAAGGTGGTTCCTCTACCTGGCTGTGCAGCAGAGTCGCTGCTGGCTGCAGAGTAGAAGATGTAATCCACAGTGACGGCACTGCGGGAGTGACAAGTCGTGACCTCTGGTGTCCCAGTCTCAGGAAAATAATGAGAGTAGACTGAAGACAGTTTAAAATGGTGCTGCAATTTTGAAGACAACCTGAATAGGAAACAAAGAAAATAATTTTATCTTCTTACTTTTCTAGAAAGCATAAGCAATGAAGAAATACCAAATAGTTCCTGGTAACAAATTATCTGGATATGCAAACTCACATTTCTCCCATGCACTCAATGCCATTGCCTTTTATATCAGTGGCCTGACCCTCTGAGGGCAAAACACAGGCAGCTTTTTCAAGTAAAAGGCAGATAGTGCAGAGCCTACCAAAAATGGCTTAGCTGACAGTTCATATATAGCCTTCACCTCCATATGCACTTGGTAAGGTTTCATGTGTCCTCATGCAGCAATCTCTCCCTAACACATGGGTAGAAGTGTCCATGGGAGCACCCTGCATGTAGGCAATGGACCACGAGCATGACAGCGTAGAGAGAAATAAACATCTAGTTTTGGGGGTCTGGTTTTTTGTTTTTCCTCCCCTAAACTAAAACTATAAAGTGTTTTCACTTTAGGCTATATCTAATTTTTCCTCCACTCCGGGTCCCGTTTTGCCTCTCGCCATCACCTGCCAGTCTGCTCCTCTTCAGCCCATTTTGTCTCACCTGTTTTTTCAATCTTGAAAGCAAACTGCAAAACCCTTCAGCAGAATTCCCCTCTCCCACCCTCCCAGGCATTTGCTCCCATCCCATCAGTTCTGCAAATCACCCACCCCTCAGCTCTACCTGCCTCATCCTGCATGGCTGCATTTTAAACCTGAGCTGCAGTGTGTTCTGGTCAAGCCTGCCTGACTTAGAGAAACATGCCAGTTTGTACAGCACAGAGGAGCAATCACTTCTGCTCTTTTTACATGACTTTGTGTTTTAAGATGAGGCAAAAAATCCTGCAAGCAGTGTTTTAACAAAGGGCATGAAATGTATTTATACCATAGATCAGGGCTTCCTGTCTTCTTATCTACTTTTCTCTGAAGTGCCTTCAGCTTTTTTTATCACCAGGAATCACCATGAGCTTTAATATAACTATCTGCACTGATACCAAGATCTCATTTCTGGTAAGAAGTGGCTGACTTGGAGCCTGACACCACACATACAGAGTTAGGGCAATTTCCTCCTTCTGTGCCTTCCTTTATATGCTTTTACCAGTTTGATAAATGCAAATATATTCTTTCTTTCAAAAAGCAATTACATCCTCCTCCTCAGCAGTCTAGTTGTGGCCTCATCCTTCAGTTTAACAAGGAAAAGTTTTGATCCGAGTAAGAGCTGTACTACCAAATCCACAATACTCCAAATTTCTGGGTCTCAAAGAACATAAATTCTCCCACAGAACTCCTGACAAGGAAGATTTTATGACCTTTCCAGTTCCTTTCCCTCCTTCATCCCAATGCCACATTGTATCATAGGATTTTATTAGTCTCCACAAACCAGGAAGAGAAAGAAGTGCCAACACTTAAGCAGCTGGACAACACTGGGAGGGGCTTTTTGTTTGGTTTCTTTTTCTCTTAAAAACACAGTTTCTGCAACTACACGAAGTTCAGTGCTTCCCACGAAGGGCACAGTGTCCTCTTCATGTCAGGAAGTGACAAAAAATGTCAAAAGCTTTCTAAACAGCACTTACACCTTGCCTCTCCATTTTGAAATAGTATCTGGAGGTTTCCAAAGGACACACTCCATTATGTCCAGCTCCAGTCTTTCCTGTCTGATCAGCTTTCTCATGTTCAAGTGGATGGTGACTTTTTTGCCATATGGGCAGACTGGGTTGGGTGAGCCTCTTGTGCCCAGATCCAGGAGCAGATACAAATTTGGTCTAAAAGCAAAACAGCCCCCCAAAATTAGGGCTTCCTTTCCCCCCACCCCCCACCACATACTTTTCAGATGCTATCACAATCTCTTGAGTGTTGCCCAGTTTTGCTGCTTCCGAATTTTCTCCTGGAAAATAAAAACACATTCAATTTACATTTAAAAATAAGATGAGGCAAGACTAATACTGAAGAGCTACAGAAAAGAAAAACTACAGAAAAAATATCTTTTTAAGTAAGTACACTTATCGCAGCTGGCAAGATACAATTCACAAAGCTGAGTGAAATTCCTCTGTTCCACTACTAAGATCCCCTCCAAAGACTCTTTCAAATTATGTCCCATTCACTTAAAGTAATTTTACTTTTTTTTCTGTCAAGGAAAGAATGCTGGATGAAAGATGTACTAATATCCAGGAAGGAATCACTTGCTTTTCCCACCTCTTCCATAAAGTGCCTGTGCTATAATGCAAAAGACACTGAAGCAGAATGTAGGTTGATGCTACATACATGTGCTGCTTTCCTCCATCTCTTTCCCAGGCCCAGCACCATGCTGACATGATGCAAACACAGTAGCTTTAATATTATGCCCCAGCTCCTGAATGCCAATTTTTAACTATGATCTAAAGATTCCAATTTGCAGCTGCTTATGTGAATAAATAACTTCACACTTTAGTGAGCCTGACAGGTGAGTTTTGCAAGCTCTAGACTCAGTTTTTCCCCCACTAGAATGGCACATCTGTTTTTCAGTGCTACCTGAATGATATTTTCAAAGGACCACAAAATTCATCAATGCAGAAACTGACCTTCATTTTCTTCTTTTTGTTGCTGTTTTACTTCATAGACACAGTTTTGTGAAATACCTAATTTTTTTGGCCAAATGGGAATAGATAATATTCTTTGCCCCCTTGGAAACTGTTCTTGTCCAGACACCTAAGACAGACAACATGACCTTTTTTCAGACAGATTTGATTTACCAGAAAAAAAACCAAAACACACACACAAAAACTCCAAAACCTGAAATGAGTGGACATTTTTTCAGTAAAGTTTAGTTTTAAGCAAAGAAAAGCCCCAGCCACTTAGAGTAAAACTTTTATGATGGTTCACCAATTCTCCATAGAAGTAACACTCCTTAAGTACAACCCCTTTGTTCACTCTTTATCTTTGCAGCCACCCCATTTTTCAAGACAGCTCTTGTGACACTAAACTGAGAAACTACAAAGAAAGATTACCAAGACCACATTTAGCAACATAACAGGAGTAAGTATACACAGCTCCCTAGCAGACACTTTATCTTCATGCTGGTTCTTCTAGCAGCACATAAGCCAAAGCAGGGCTTCAGACAACTACCCACTAGCAACAAATGCCAGTGGGGTTATTTTCTTCTCTTTTCTCATTTTATGTACTCCAGTTACTTTCTATGAAATAACATCTGACACATCCAAAGGGTACATAAAAGATCTTACAACAAAACCCATCTAAACTGGAACATTTTAGGTTAAACATCTAATTGCATTTTTGCTTTTACAGTTATTCAAGCCACTGTAATTCAGAACTCATCTATGTGTCATCTTTCCATAGAGTATCCAATAGGTATCTGATTAAGTAGCTACTTTACCCTCCTTAAAGACTGGGACACTTGAACAAAGTGATAAAATAATCCTGTGGATAACTACATTTAAAGAACAATGAGTTTGTCTGATAGTTTTTAATTTCAGAATGCTGGAAGTGGATACAATATTCTGTAAAGCTCAGCTAATGTACTCAAGCTTATGTCAGTAACTCCACAGTAACTTTTGCTTGGCAGACTGTGTGAAGAGCACTAAGATGAGTCCTGCAGTGGAGGAAAAAAAAATGAATTCACAGCTATGGCATGCTAGCACCACTCAAATATTTCTTTTTAATCAGCATCAGCCCTTTTTTTTGAGAAGTGAAAAGCACAGCATACCTTCCCTATAGCAAGTCCTTCATAATTTAACTTTCCTTCCTTTATAAACTTGTAGAGGGGAGAACCAGGAACAGAGTTGAAGTCACCACAGATGATGATGGGACAGAAGGCACCATCCTTCTGATGGGCAACACTAGCAATCTCTGCCAGGAGCATTGCAAGCTGGGTCAGCTTGATGTCCCCTCGCCTTGGGTTATACAGGAGGTGGGTGTTGGCTACACAGACTGCAGCATTAGATGTACAGGGAGATCTAGGCTGCAGCAGCAACACCAGTCCAACGTTGTCTCTGTCCAAGAGAGGAATATCATGGCGAAAAAATTCCACAGGGTTTGATGAAATCAGGCTAAATTTGGATGTTTTGAAGCAAATAGCACAGCCATCAGGTTTTCTCCCTGTCCTCATTTTATACTCACAGTGGTAACCTGCAAGAGAGGTAATTAGACCCATAAAATACCATTGTATAAATAGAGACTTTATTAAAAAACAATTAGAGAAATCTCATGCTACTTTTCTCACATGGCAGTCAACACCCAGGCTGAAATGTGAAGTTCACATAGAAAAGTGAACCCAAGAGCCTTTCTGTCCAGCTTCAGTTCAAGTGTTACAGGAAACCTGGTCTAATGCCTTTTGTGAGGTGTAAGCATCCACATACTTTAAGATACTGGGTGTGTTCTCTCCTCATGTGGAAAAAAACACAAACCAAGAAAACAAACAATTCCACAAGTCACATAACTTGACTTGCAAGTCACAGGACTTGCATACTGAAGCTTCTTCTGGATGTTACCACAATGGCTTAGGAATAATATCAGTGAAGCATTCAAAAAAAAAAAAGGCAATAATCACTGTAAGTGATAAATCACCATCTAAAATGATTCCTAGGTAAAGGTCTCAGATGTATTTCCACAATTATGTAATTACCCAGCTAGTGGCAAGCAGCAAGCTTTCAACAAGGAAACTGAGACACTTCTCAAATTACAGTATGGGAGTTCAGACAAGTCCACCTGCAAACAGCCATTTGCCAAGTTCTTCATTTTATGTAGAGGTGGCACACAGATTTTAATAAGACATTATCTGTGTAAGAAAAAAATAAGGATCTTGAAGCAGTATCTAGTTTTTGCCATTTAAAAATGCCTCTCTGCCCAGCCCACACCATAGGAATTCCTGAAGTACAGCCCCAAGAAGTGGAGGGAGCTGACCACAAAGCTCACACCAGTGCTGGAACAGGAGTTTCCCACTCCCCTCTCCCAGCTCCAGGCCACAGGCTCCTTCCACTTGCTGTGGCACTTACTGTTAACTCAGGAAAGTAATCCAGGAAAATAAAATTATTCTGGATAGTATTCTGTGGTAGAAGGGTTTCACCAGGGCAAAGGTGAGAGTGCCAGAACTAGCCCAGGAGAAGGTGCAGGACATACATCTGGGAGCTAGGGAGGGGAAAAGGAAGAGCCACATCTGGGAGCTAGACTATGGCCAACTAACCAGAAAAGAAAAGATTATCAGTGCAGTGCTGCTCTTTGAACTGGCTCCTTCTGGCTCTGGACAAGTACCACTACCAGGAAGAGAGTGCAGTCCTGGCACTGAAGGAGGTGTAGGGCACAAAAACTTTAGATTGGTTTAAACCAACATGAAGTCATGCCCACAGCAGCATGTTCTTCCCATAAACCCACAGGGGAGAGTGATAAGACAGTGCTATTGAGGCTGACTGACAGTATCAGTATAAAAACTAGTAAATATAAACTGACCATGGATAACATTTAGTGCTGGTATTTGGAAGGTTTCAAGACAGAAAAACATACTCTAGAGAAGCCATCCAACAGGGATACTGGTAGAAAACATCACTGTAGTTTCACCAAAGCACCAGATGAGTTTATAAAAGGGGGGATGCAACACTGTTGCATAAAATGGCAGGAACTTGACTCTTTAAAGATTTTGAGGAAAATAGTACCAGAGCAGGGGAGAACAATGTATTGGTGACCAGAATTTCATCATACCCAGGGATTCCAAACTTGATTTGATCTCTGTTCTGTAGTGATCTTCTTGGACTTCTTGTAAGCAGAGTACCTATGGCAGAAGTTTACAATTAAAAGATATTAATAAGTACATAAAAATATTACTGTATTGTATCTGACCACTCTCTATAGGTATAGGAAAAAAAAATAAATCAGAGGCTTTTTGCCTTCATAATCCCACAAAAGGATACACTCTGCTATAGAAAATGCCCCTTAGAGTAGGAAGAATTGGGGCCTCCTTCACAATCTTTTCTCAAACAGGCATTTTCAGATGTGAAATCAAACTTAATCAAAATAGTCACCTGCTAATATGTTCTCAGCAGTTTAGGAGAGGGCTAAACACCTGAGCAGTGTCATGAAGAGGCTAAGAGCACACTTTTCATTAACCACAGAGTGGACAACAAGCTTCCACCTTGTAACAACTCAAACCAAAGATCAACCTCAAAATACTCCATTGAGTTCTGAGCATCTTGGAGCCTTCTCCCTGCACATTGCAGTAACACCCAGATTTACAGCCAGCCTGGACTCTGACAAGACTGAGCTCCTGCAGGGTAATCAACACTGCAGCAAGATTCCACTTACCCAGCTGACACAACCTCAGTCAACGTTTCAATGCAGAACCAAACCTCAAGCAATATTCTGAAGTCTCTGCTTCACTTTAAGGTTAAAGTTCGAGACAATGAATCAGTTAAAAGTTTTAACCTTTAGTGAGAAATTCCTCTGCACAGAGGGCACCTGCACCTGCCAGTGGCCCTGCAGAGTTCAGCAAGCACCCTGCACTGAAGTGCTCTTTGCCAGGGGGCTGGCTTTGGCTCCAGTCCTTCTGTTCTGGAGAACTGACTTGTGACTAACAGCACCAGGCAGATCCTCAACAAAGTCCCTCTGCCCCATGTGCCTCTCAAAAAGTCCACTAATGTATCTTGCTGTAAAAACACCTACATACAGCACGGATAAATTTCTTAGGAAGAAAGGAAGAACTTGAAGGGGACTCAAATCCTCGCTCTGTATGGTAGTACATAACTGCATTTTTCAAACAGCACAAGGTGTTTTTTCTGTGGCTTCTCTAATGTAGCTCCTTTGATATTTTCTGTACTGTTTTCTGACATGAACAGGTTGGTTTCTATCACCAAACTTCTACTGATGTGAGCAATGACTGAAGTGGAAATTGTACTGCCCTGACTTCCTGATTAAGGTTGGCAGTAAGTGAGAAGTGTCCTCAAAACCAAACCCCTCACAGTCAATGAAGAACACACTAAGGTGTTTTGTCAGTCCCACAGGCAGAAGTTTAGAGTTGTGTCTCAGTAGGAAACAGCAAGCTTGTTCACAAGTCAAATGTGCAGAGTACCAGGTGAAGAGAGACATGGTCACTTGAAAGGCATATGTTTGGATCAGTCTCAAGTGAATGCCACCAGCACCTGCATCTTTCTCTCAGCCCTGGACATTCATCTCAAGAGAACAGAGATCCACATAGAAACCTCATCACTCTGGTCCTACAATCAAAAAGTGAAACATCTGAGTCTGCCTTCCAAATAAAGAATTTAGAAACTATCATAAGTTCTCCATTATGTGGTCTAGCAAATGGCTCTGAAGGATTAGCAGCCAGAGTTTAGACAGGGACTTCTGATTCACTGAGTATACATACACTTGGTAGAACTACTACCAAAAAGAACATGAAGTCAAAAATCACACACCTGGAGGTTAGAAAATGCCAGTCCTGGAGGTTTCCTTAATTTGACCCTCCTGTGTGCCCATGTACTACTTATCCTCCACAAAAGCCTGGTGTGCAAGAGTGTCTGCAAATGACAACCAACTATCCCATCTTACATGCCCTTTGTGCTAAGTAACTCAGGGCAGAATTAAAGAGCAAGCCTCCAGCTCCAGAGCTTCCTACACTGTACAGCCACAGAAGCTGAGGCTATCCTGGAGAAGGGTGCCCTGTTCTCCTACTCTAAGCATCTATCATTAGCTACTGTTACAAACATAACACTAGGCTAGGTGGACTTTCAACCTATGCAAGTACTTAAATTCAGTGCCTTATTTACAGCACACTACTCAAGCGTGCTCTAGACACAGACTGAGAAAGATTTATTTGAAGAAAGAAGGTTTTGGCATTAAAAAAAAAATGCAGTTTATCAGCAGAATATCAAGGTCACGTCAAAAAGACTATTTCAGGAAGTTATGGACAAAAAAAGGCCACTCTGAGTGATAGGTACTGTAGAGTTTGCTATATGTTCAGATCACAGAGAGTACACAAATTGCACAGGCATAACTCAAAACTGACTGTTCAGCATGATGTAACTAAAAGCTCAGCTGGATTCACCAGAAAGCCAACCTATCAGAATAAAGGACAACCAGAATTTGATACTCCAGTTTATCAGTTCTTAAGAAATAAACACGTGTTCATTTTCTACTCACATCTGCATCCAGCTGTTTAATTTCTTGTAGAATGTTGGGAAATCTGTATGTCCAGATTAACAACTGTTGCCTGCAGTGTTTGTACAGGTGGTAGTTATCTTCCAACAAATTCTGTGAGAGGATATTGTAAGACATGACTGTAAATTCAAATTTTGCCTCACTTTCTGTATTGTTTTGGACAGCCTCTTTATTTTCAAAGTTCTTTACTTTCATTGTTCTGCTGTGCTGACAGAAGTATTCCCAGTGTCTTTTGACAGTTCCTGTTAAAAGCACACAAAGCAGAAAACATTACATAATACAACATATGTCTTCTTACTGCTCCTAGAAATCATTCCACTGACAACTATTTGTCTTTCCAAATAGCTTAAGCAATTCCAAATGCTTATTTGATTGCAGTGATTTAGACCCCCTGCTTAAGATGAACTTTATATAAGTGTCAGCAAAAAACCAAAACAAACAAAAACCTCAACCCCCAAACACAGCACAAAGCCATTTATTGTCCTGGATTTCAAACTGCTCTGAAGTTGGTAACCCAGCATGTTCTAAGGAGATGGTTAAGTCAGACTATTTCACCCTGCTCCCTGTAGAAAGGCTGTCAGACTGTGAAGCCCAATCCAGCCTGCTGACATGGTCTCCTGCTGTCTTCTGCCCCTGCCTCCTCAGCAGACATGGGATACGTCAGTCTGGGATACACCCTTCAGAGCAGCACCTGAGCTTCTTGTTATCTCTCTATCCATTACTAGCACAGAGTTAGGAATCAAACAGAGGGTTCACCTCTAACCTGTGTGCAGTCTGAAAAACTCAGCCACAAGCTGCAACAGGATCCATTACAGTGATCCTGAAACAGTAATGGACCTGAATTCCCTCAGTGGGGTTGAGAAATTAAAAAATTCATAAGCCTCAGAGTCACCAAGAGCTTGAAAAGGCTTACTTTGCCTTTCTGCACTCCTAGATTCATACTGACTATTAGTACCACCACATGAAAGTTTATAAGAATATATCTGCCTGTCATTAAGCATCCAATTATTTTTTCAGATATGTCTTTCTCCACTTAAAAGTCACGAACAAAACCACCCCCCAGCCCATAGGTCTGAACTCATCAGAGTACACCAAGGTCTGGCAGGCTGTGTGACCAGCCAGGGGCAGTCAGCAGCTGCAGCCCTTGGTATCTGCCCCATTTGGGTAGGAAAGGCCATAGCTGTGCTTACACTATTCAGGACTTCATGTAGTATTTGCAGCTAAACCAGCAGGGCTTTAAGCACTGTTTCTATAGTGGGAGAGAAGCTGCATTGCTCCTCAGCAGCTATCTTTAATTACAACCACCTCGCATCTAGGAAGGACCACAATACTGACCACAATCTCAGGTAAAGGTGTGTCAAGAAGGGGTTAAGAGAGGACTCAGCACCAAAGGCACAAATCCAGCTCCACTGCTTCAGCTCCTGAAGACAGACAGGCTGTTTCTAAGCCTTATGGATATTTGTGTTCAAAAATCCATTTGGGATGCTGATGGCATCTGTCACTCATTTCAGTTATATTACAACTTTCAGTTTTGCTAAGGAAGTGATTTATGCAAGTGGGAGATAATTTTGACTGTGCCCCTCTACTTGTTTCAGAGTAAACTGTTAATACTCAGTAAAACATTTGGATGCTACATAAAATATTATAACACAGACACTTTGAAGTTTCATGAAGGTCTGTTACTGAGCTGGGTGGACATCCTTGCTCTCCTTACAGTGTTTATCTCAAGAGGCCCATTTGCTGTTTGCTCTGACAGTCAGGGTCTAACACAAAATTTGCTAAGATGCCAGTGGTGGAACACAGTTGTGAAAACAAAACCACACGATCACACTGGATGCAAATGCCATTAAATCTCAGCCCATTAAATCTCAAATTTTCTAGGTCACTGATAACTCAACTGGCTCAGAAAGAAGCCAAACGAGGTCCAAGCAGGGCTGAAGAGCTCAGGTACAGTACAAGGAACAAAGCTATACAGCTGCCAGACCAGCTCAGCCCTGCGATGAGTTAGCTACACCTTTTTGGCTTCGGAAGAGTTCCCAAGTTAACAGGCAGGATTTGGTGACCTGCACCTGAGCAAGCGTTGCCTGAACCAAGCTCAGGACTCCCCAGCTGGGCAATCCTTTGCATAACACACTGCATTCTGCTGCCAAGCAGAGCAAACCTGGTTCCAGCGCACTGTTGGACAGCATAAATACAAGTTTACACACTGCACAGCATCACAAAACTACAACGTTTTTAAGACAGATGTTTTCTTGAGAGAGGTGCCAAGAAGAACAGTAACTCAAGAGGTGCAGGCAACGTTGCTTATAACCTGTAAGACATGTTTAGCACTACAAATAAGCAAGGAAAATGAGCAAAGAGCATCTTTTACCTTTCTTGCTGCTACGTTTTTCTTCATTCTGTGCTACAGACAGACGCAGTGCTTCCTTCTGCTGAGAGGAGTTTGTTTCTTCTTCAGGAGCTGGAGTATCATGCTGGCCACCAAGTCTCCTCTTCTTTGTTAACGGTTCTTCTCCTTCAGATTTCATACTGGGGTTAGGTAGGTGGAAGCAAGAACTTTGTGTGAAGTTATTGAGCTGCCAATTGGAATTCTGAAATTGTCTCCAAGGTCCAAAAAAAGGAGGGAGGCTCCAGTTTGCTGAAAAATCAGCTGGAACAGGAAGTGGAAATGAGGCCCAGGGACAGTGTCTGGCCCACCTCATACAGCTGGAAACTGGGCTGTTCAAGGCAAGTAGCTGAGAACCATTCCAGGGGGTGATCCAGTCTCGGCCCAGCCTCTGTATGTGACGGGGCAGCATGGAGTGTCTGCCAGAGAAAGGACATGTCTCACTATTTACACACAACTACAAGGCTGTGGGTGCAGGTCATCCTGGGCATGACTTATACAAGATACTCTTCCTCTACAAGTTACCATATACAGGATGTTCAAACTTATTAGATACATGCAAGATACTTAAACCTCCATTGGACCGATGTGTGAAGAGGGACCTCACACAGCAGTCTTGGAGTTTTCTCCCGCTTCAGGTTTACAAATGCTCAAAAGGATAGAACGTGGAAATTAAAGGGCAAGTGCCTACAACTTATTTTCTGCCTTGTTGAATCCCACTGTTAGCTCTTTCAAGTGCTCAGTGGAAGGACCTTACAAAAGGTCAGTTTTGCATGCTGTGTTAACCTTGTGGTAAGGCCATCTGAAAGAAATCACAAAAATGCTTTCCTTCAAACAGGCAGAAATTTGTTTACAAAGCCACTGACAGCTCAAACCACAAGATCAATAAGATGGGGAAGTAAAAGTACTGACTCTCACAGCATCTCTAGAACAAGCTTATAGACTAAGTTTGTATTCTTGTTTCTTTTCCGTGTGGGAAAAATCACAGCTTAGTGATTAAAGCCATGAAAATAAGGTGGGGTTTTTTGATTCTTTTTTCCCAGAAAAAAAAAACAACCAACCAACCAACCAAACAAACAAAAAACCCCAAACCAACCACCAAAAACTGTGTGTCAACAAAAGTGCAGGAAGGAAGGCTGAGTGACATCAATCTTTTTCTGCTTCCTCATTGTTTAAATAAGGTGTATTTTGAGCTGAAAAGCAAGAAGCTACCAAAGCTGAGCATGCCCCAAGCTGACCTAAGGCGAGAGCTTCCTCGCTACCACACAGCCTAGCGAATAAACCCGAACACAACTCCAGCAAAACCAAGGTCTCCTGAACCAGCACCTTCCACCAGGAGCAGATCGGCAGACCCCGGCGCAAAGCACACCCCAGGACAACGCGGGGCACAGCGGCAGAGACGCCGCTCCTTGGCCAGACCTG